TTGAGGGCCTATGAAGTTTACGTGTTCCCTAAATAAAGTGAGAAATTCCATATTGAAAAATAAAATAAGAAATATATGACTTAAATATGATATGAACTATTTCATTTATTATTAATTAATTCAATGATGCACCTCATGTTCTGATGAGACCCATGAAAAAAAACCTAACTGTTAAAGATGCTTGTTGGTCATCTTTAATTTTGATTTTGCATTTTTACCAATTAACTATGTGCCACTAAGAAGAAAAATGCACTCATTATGTATATTTGTCTTTCTCAGAATGTGAAAGTTTGCTGTTTCTGTTTCTGACAACATAAATTTCATCTTTCAGATACCTCCCTAGCATCTTCAAAATGCGCAAAGGATGGAACTCTAGGCAATGAAAATTAAGGAGCGATCAATGAAAACTAAATCAAGGATCAATAAATGAAGATAAAACATGTAATTAACCACAAACAATTGATCATTTGATTCAAATTTGCATTTATTCATTCTAGGCAATTCATGTTTCAATTCTTTCGGTAAGTTCAGCCTTTTATATTAATAGAATTAAAGTAATTAATTTGCTTTTTTTTATAGTAAAAATAAATGTATTTATCAATAATAGAAAAACACAAAGATTATAAGCTAATTCATATGATGTAATGTACTAGAAACATTAGAAAATCTATACTTAAAAATGTAAAACACTTAATTAAGCATTTGATAATAGAGTAGTTTAATGGTTATATTGATATATGATAATTGAATCTGGTTTTTAATTTGATAATAAAGTCACAAGTTAATGTAATTTAACATAACTAAACAATAAAAAGGTAATTGTTGAGGTAATCTGTTATTAAAAAGCATTTTAAGATAACACAATATTTATCAATCATATCTCTTACTTTAATCTTTCAACTGAAATGATATAAAATAATAAAAAAACTCACATAGGTTATTTTTAAAAAAAATAAATTCTCCAATAACCCAGGCATAAAAAGAGAGACAAGAACCCTTAATTAGAAAAAACTTAAAGAGTAAAATAAAATATAAAATCATGAAAAAAGGAAGAAAGGAAGAATCAAAAAGAGGAATGGGCAAGAAAGGATGGGAAGTAGAACAAGGGAAGGAGCGCCTTTTTGTCCGTATTTAATTAGCTATTGTTTAAATCTCATTTTGTTCACCCAACTTTTGTGTGAAATCTCTTTTTAATTTTTAAACTGCAAAAAATTTAATTTAATCCTTAAAATTTCATATAGTATCTTTTGGCTCTTTTTAATTATTTCATTGAGTTTCGTTTACATGATACATTAATTGATAGCAGCATAAGCTGCCCTTTTGTTCAAATTAATGACGAAAAAATTTTACAAAGTAAAATTTAGTGATGTGGACAAAATTTATGGTTACCATTGACTTTAATTACAAAATTGCCATAAAAAATGGTTAAATTGAAATTATATTGAAAAATCAAAATTACCTAATACTCCTCGTATTGTTCCACAAAACTTATCCTTTCTCAATCTCCCATCCCAAACCCAATCTTCCTCTTGTCCAACCTCCTCCTCCATCATAGTCCACAATTTCTGATATGTAGAAAAACTAATGGTTAGAAGCTTTAGAAGTCACCTGTGTTTATTTGATTTATTAGTTACTGTTAGTTTGTAACAGTTTAGTAACAAGTAGCGTATATTAATATAAAAGTGTTTGTATCTCTTTGTTGAATGTTCAATTATTTTGATATTTTTCAATTTTCTTAAATTTCCCTGTACGTAATTTTTTTGTATTCCAAACTATATTGCAAAGGATGTATATCGAAAATCTTTTTTTTTTGTGGGTTTTTTTTTTTGTATTCCTTTAAATTATGTTTACTGGTATCAAATTCTCACACTGATTTCCTTCAATTCTTGTATCTCTAAATCAAAAACAAATCATTGTCTTTCAACAGAAAGTTGACTGGCCTCATTACAAGAAAAGAAAGAGTCAAATTTTTCCAAGAACCCATCAAAGTTTCCTTCAATTCTTTCGCCTTTTAGAAATTAGAGCTAGTGGTTTGCAATTTTGGAAGAATCTAGACAAAGAACTGCAATGGAAGTTCTAGAAATATTTTGATGACCGCCTCTAAAACGGTTGTTACTTGTTAGTCCCAGACGATCGGGTTATGTTTGTGGGTAAGGTTAACTTAACCCGTTTAGGTTAGAAGTTATGGACTGAAATAAATTTTAAAATGGATCTTGACCCATTCGGCTTGTGGGCTAACCCAACAAATTAAATACAAATATAAAAACATAAAAAATATAATAAAATCTTAATAACTAATTTAAAAGGTGATTAATTAGTTTAATTAATTTTAATTAAAATTAATTGATTATGGTTAATTAACTTTAATTAAAATAGTTGGATTA